GTACACAACTCCTTAACAATGTCATTCATACCGAAAAAAACAGTGATGTTAAATATTGGAAATATATTTTTGTAAAAATCCGACAATCTAAATATATCACTTAATGAACTTTAGTTGTATAAGCTTCATCCTTCTTCCAAATATCATATATTTATGTGTATGTGTATGGTACATGCCTATATATGTACACACATACTTAAATATACACATTCATATTCAGCCTGCACACATATGCACATATATGTATCGCGAAATCACATGACTAAAACACCTAAATATTAGAGAAGAGAAAGAAAAAGATCAATAAAAACAAAAAGTAAGAGAAACACTGGAAAAAAATGGAAAGATTAAAAATCTATCTATCTATCTATCTATCTATACATGTGTGTAAACATATAGGTAAATTTGTATGTACGTGAGAGTGGATACGACGATAAAATCTATAAAATATTTTGTTTCCAATAGGAAATAAATCTAAGGTACGATTCCATAAAAAAAATCACACATGTATATGTATATATCGTTGATTTATTTTAGTTCATGCAGCCCCCGTGGCGCCCTTGTAACGCCCTCGGCTGGTAACCACCAATGGTCTGAGATTAGAAAACGAAGGGAATCCACTCAGTGTAATGGCCGCCACCTGCTAGACGCAAAGTCCTACGGAAGAAGGCATCGCCATAGCCCTCGCTAGAATCTATACATTGGTACGTTAGCGACGGCAAATGATAATAAAATTAATAAATCAATGATCGGATTATCTTCCCTTCAGCTGCAATGCTACGATGTCAAAGTTAAGATCGTTTTCGACGGTCTGGAAGTAACAGTGACAACGGGAGCAGTAATGGTTTTGCAAACATCAATTGGCTTTGGGAGCAGCTTTGGTTTCAGAAGCAGTAATGACTTTGAAAGCAGTTATAGTTTCAGACGTGGTACTGATTTCCTATCAAAAAGCTCGGACGGAAATACTAGTAATGACGGTTACTCACTCAATGAGTGAGGGACTGATAGTTCCTGAGTTAGTAGCTTACTATTCTCTATCTGATCAACTGACTGTCCAGCAGATTGATTGACTGACTGTCTCGATGTGTTTTTTTTTTTTTTTTTTTTTAATTTTTTTTTTTCGATTCCATGTATCTCTAACTCACTCAAGTGTCATTGGTTTGAGAATTCGCAGCCGCCTTTCAGTATATGAACACGCATCATCGCTGCTTTGTCTGTACAAAACATTTCAACAAGTATTTCATATAGAAAAGCTAGCATTATTATAAATATATTTATGCAAGTGTTAATATTTGAATAATTCTCATAAGTCAAACTCTTCTAAAAAAAAAAAAAAAAAAAAAAAAACAGTCGCTCCACACAAACCAGCTTGACCGGTGTCTCACTTATTTTTCTTTAGATTTTGGCGGAAATGTTTAATTCTTTCATAGTTATGAAACTACTAGTAATGCTCCGGACTCTAGAAATTTTAAATGAGTGTGTTGCAAGCACTGAGAAGGAAAGGTCCGTCACCTCTCCTTGCCCGCCTCCTCTTTCCCATCTTCTCTTCCCACTAGGCCTACCAAAGCATTATACCCGGCAGATCCATCGTTATGAAGATACAACCAGTTAACTGGTACAACATCAATCTGAGGTTTAATATCAGACAGAAAGGGAATCCATAAATATCTCAGCAACGGTTGAGCATGTATTCTCTTTCATTTTAGTTTCTCTCTTTTTTATCACTTTCCACCACTTCTCTCTCTTTAGATATTTGTATGTGTGTACATACGTGCATATGCAAGTGCGTGTGTATCAACCTCATTTGGTATCGAAAGAGAATGCACAGTGGGACGTTATATATATGAATTAGAGAAATGAATAAATGAAATATAATCAGAATACAACGAACTTTTTTATGAAATGTAGTACTGGAAAAGGATTGCCCAATCGGAATAATCCTGCCGATGATCGTGAATTTGGCGTGTCATTGGAAAAATCTTTTTAGTACTTAGCGCAACTGATGAACTGGTGAACGAAGACACCAAGTCACTAAATCTATAGGTAAAGGGAAAGTAGTTTATACTGCATGTGTCAATTAAGTTCTATGAGTGTGTGTGTGTGTGTGTGTGTGTGTGTGTGTGTGTGTGTGTGTGTGTGTGTGTGTGTGTGTGTGTGTGTGTGTGTGTGTGTGTGAGCACGTGCGCGCGAAGACATGTATAGCTTTGTATTCTCATGTGTGTGTGTATGTGTTTAAACCCTCACAAACTCATATTCATGCATAAATGCATATTCGATGTAATAGTCTAATGCAGATTATTATACGAAAACATATCGAAAAATATAGTGACATGAACTTACAACAAAATTCTCGCCTAATCCAGCATGGATGAAATGAATACCAATGAAAGGAAGAAGCGAAAGTGAATGTTGTAAATTCGGTAGGTAAGAGTGACATGGGCAGCTTATGTGTTTTTATATATAAGGAACGCTTGGTCAGGAAAAGCATTAGTTACCACGA